AATAACTGGTGAGTTTACTGTAGATATCAGCTCCGATGCCGCCCCTAAAAAATAAAACCTTCCACTGGGAAAACTTTAGATTTATTAACAGGACATCAAGAGTTTATTTAGGAGTTTCAGCTTTTGTCCAGTTTCTCCTATAGAAATGTAGATTTCTAGAACAGAATCAAGGTTCGATTTCCCACAGCCGCATGTTAAACTGTCTTTACAGCAGAAATAAACACGTATAAACATTATTTTAAAGATTACATCGACACACCAGCAGTTTATTACCTGTTTACACTGTGGACTGATCCGTGGCCAGGTGTTTATTTTGTCATTACCGGCCAGCATAGTTACGAGTTCCTGGAGGACATGAAAATACTGGCGTGATGCTGGATGGCGTGGTGGGGCCGGGCCGGGGGGGGCGGACGCTATCGGGGCCGTTCTGTGAAATCTACATGGGTGAGTGAGTGACGGCGCCGAAACGTCCATGCGGGCTTCAGGGCGGTTCAGGACAAACACAGGTGAGTCTGTTTTTACACTGACTGACTGGAAACTTTAACTTTAAACCAACAGGCCTTTTTCACAGCAGCCACTTTGACATGAAATATTGAACAGAACCAGTTTGGATTATTAGTAAAAACATGTTTATTCTGCTGTTTCAGTTCCCTTTTTCCACCCATATTTATAAATGGTTGTTAGGAAACAGCTCGTTTTTAAGATTTTACAGTCTTTTATTTGTATTTTTTTTGCGTGACTGGGCCTTTATATGGGTTTATATTTATATAAACATTTTAATGCCATCACATAAAATATAAACTGAAGGTTCTCTTGACCCCACAAAATATCACAATATTTAAATCAATATAGGAATCAGAATGTAAACAGAATTAAAAAATAAAAAGATATTACAATAACTTATAAATTGCTTCCTTTTCAAAACAAGATATTTTTTAAATAGTTGCAAAAACACTATAAACTGACATAAATCCATAAAATGTGAAGTATTTAAGTATTCAAAGAGATATGTCAGAGCTAATGTTATGCTACAAGATTTAAAGTCAATAAAACGGCGTACAGTCGACAAACGGAAAATATAATTTAACAGTTTAACAACAAGACAAGCTAACTATCAGCATACGTCATAGTTTACTCATAATTACATCATCACCTGAGCATTGCATTGTGGTTATGATCAGTTATTGTCACATTTTTTATTTCTTAAATAAATGTTTCCCCTCTGAAGTATTTTTTCAGCCGCTGACAAACATTGTTGGTTGATTAAAAAGAGGTTTAATTCTTATTTAATCTTATTTAAAACACTTAAAGGGCCAGTGTGCAGGATTTAGTGACATCTAGTGGTGAAGTGGCAGATTGCGTCTAACTGAACACGACTGGTTTTAACTGTAGACTCAGTGTTTAGTTTGTCCCTTCTGGGCTACTGTAGAAACGTGGCGGTTAAACATGAGGCGACAATCGCACTGAAACTTACATTTATATTTTTTATTTAAGTAAAAATTATTTAAGGAATTGTGGGAGACTTTTATTAAAGACATTAAAGACGTTACAATAGTTTGTTCCAGCAGCTATTATTCAGATCAACAAGAGTTTTCCTCGTTTTTACCTTCATTTTTCTTAATTCTTTGTGTTTTTTTTATTGTTCTCTCTTTATAAATCTTGAGTTTTAGAGTCTGGAGCACTTTCACCTTTTATCTTTATCATGTTTGTCTGAGTTGTTTGTTGTTTTTATATTTTTGTCTTTTACAACAAACCAAATAGGCACAAATAAAGAAACCTTGACGTACCCCCATCTGAGAAACACTGGACTAAGTAATAGACTCAAGTTCAATAAAATCAATCAATCAATCATTTAGACTTTATTTGTGTTGTCTCGTTAAGCTGCAGTGAGGAAACACTGGAGGCAGAATGA